TTCCCAGATGTCCTCTGTCCTTATTCCCCAATGTCCTCTGTCCTTATTCCCCAATGTCCTCTGTCCTTATTCCCAATGTCCTCTGTCCTTATTCCCAGATGTCCTGTCCTTATTCCCAGATGTCCTGTCCTTATTCCCCAATGTCCTCTGTCCTTATTCCCAGATGTCCTCTGATTCCTGTCTGTCAATGTCCTCTGTCCTTATTCCCAGATGTTATTCCCTCTGTCCTTATTCCCCAATGCCCTCTGTCCTAATTCCCAGATGTCCCAGATGTCCTCATTCCCCAATGTCCTGTCCTTATTCCCCGATGTCCTGTCCTTATTCCCAGATGTCCTCTGCCCTTATTCCCTGATGTTTTCTGTCCTTATTCCCCAATGTCCTCTGTCCTTATTCCCTGATGTCCTTATTCCCCAATGTCCTGTCCTTATTCCAACTGTCCTCTGTCCCTATTACTAATGTCCTATGTCCTTATTCCCAATATCCTGCCATACTGCACAAAGCCATAAAATACAGTAACTGCAACAGAAACACCATCTGTAAGTGATAGACAAAATATACAAACATCTGTTTATCTGTATACTGAATACATCATTCACACTGAAAGTAGTCAGTTCAACAGTAGTATCTCCAGTATCGTGGTCAAGAAATGTATCTTGCCCTGACACATGCTCCTCAACACTACATTCAAGTATTGGTCACTCAAATCCTTGGTGGCCATCAAAAATATGGAAGTATCATTATAAACATATCATTTGAAAACATAAATAATGATTCATCATATGCATGGACTTTCAGTTGACAAGGTTTCACTTTATTTGAAATAATATACACCAGTGAACACACACGACATCCCTGTACATACTGTCTCTTATCTCCACAAGGGACATCAGAAAAAAACATTCAAAAGGTTTTGAAGCTAATCACTCTGAGGCAGCCTTGATCTACAAACAATTCATTCATAAACAAAATAAGTTAAAACAATAATATATTTTGATTTTCTTTGCTAGGAAAAGATGAATGATATGCAAATCTTTGCTGAAACAGATTCAACTGTATTCTACATTGATGAAATTCAAAAATATAAATAACAATTCATCCATTATGAATCTGAATAACAATTCTGTTCATTGAAATCATCAAACAATACAATGAAAAATATCAAACTTCACTTAAACATGCTTGTAAAAAACTCTAGTAAGTACATATATACTGATGTATATACCATGAAATATAAATATGAAACAATATAGGGACAATTATATACAACTATAGCACAGTCAGGTAAAGAGTCTACATATTAAAATGTCATTACTCAGGTATATGGATAACTAACATAAAAATAGGGGACAGGCCAACAAAAGTTGTTTCTTAACATGTGAAATGGAATCACACTGACACAAACCAACCTGACTTGTCGATGTTGTCTATTGTCTTTAGGTCACTGGTGCAAACATCTAACTATTCAGAAGTATGGTCTTCATAGTATATGATAGAATTTCTCATCGTTTTTCTATTTTTCAACAAAACATCAATTTTAACCAACCTGACTTACAAGAACTTGAAACAACACCTTCAGGAGTTATAGTTCCCCTTTGAAAAACTAAACAGTTTTACCTAGCACACTAGGCTCTGCTCAACATTCAACATAAAACAAACTCTAAATGTGATTTTCGAGTCAATGCTTGGATGGCTAAGGTCAAAGGCCCAGAAGGAATAAAGTTGCAACTTAAAATAAATGAAGGAACATCCAATGATATTTTCATGTATTCTGTTATAGAAGTTATTACCTTCCCATTGTGTGTGTTCTTGAGTGATATATATATTCTAATGATAACGGTTCTTGTGTGAATTCAGCATCATGATCTGACTCCTCATACACAGTACTAATCGTTTTTAAAAATCAGTATATTTCCTTTTCTGACGAGGTGCATGTTCTCTTGTTTAAATCCCAAAATTGGAATCAATTTGACACAATGTGTGATGATGATGATGATGATGATGATGATGATGACAACATAATTATAGATAACAGTGATAATCTGAAGGACAAACACACACAAAAAAACACCTGTATACTACAGTATGTAAGATAAATGACAAACCACATCAATATATACATGTCGTGCTTGAGACGGCCAACTGAGATATTACATGGACAGTCCTGGAAAATAAATCTTTGTACCATGGCATGGCATAGAGAGTGGGCTGTTGTTCCACCAGTACAGAAATGCCTGATTTGCTGCAATCCACTTTGGTGAAGCCCATGAGCATGGGAGTGGGCTGACAAACCTAGAAACATAATGTGGACCAACCAGGAGTCAAACCACGGCTCACAGGTTTCTGGAGTTCCCAATCTCAGGCTTCTGGGGTTCCCAATCTCAGGCTTCTGGGGTTCCCAATCGCAGGCTTCTGGGGTTCCCAATCGCAGGCTTCTGGGGTTCCCAATCGCAGGCTTCTGGGGTTCCCAATCGCAGGCTTCTGGGGTTCCCAATCGCAGGCTTCTGGGGTTCCCAATCTCAGGCTTCTGGGGTTCCCAATCATGAGGCTTCTGGGGTTTCCCCTCAGGCTTCTTGGGTTTCTTGGGTCTCAATCTCAGGCTCTGGGATTCCCCATCGCAGGCTTCTTGGGTTCCCAATCGCAGGCTTCTGGGGTTCCCAATCACAGGATTCTGGAGTTTCTAATCTCAGACTTATGGGGTTCCCAATCTCAGGCTTATGGGGTTCCCAGTCGCAGGCTTATGGGGTTCTCAATCGCAGGCTTCTGGGGTTCTCGAGGGACAACATTCTGTACAGCCAATTGCCATGACTGGGCAGCATTTGCTTCCCTATTTGAGAAGGAATACAATAAGATAAGATCTCGTTTCAATCATGGGAAACCAAAGAAATTTGACTTGGCAGCTACTTTCAGCATTGTATCACTTACAGAGAATGACCATTTGAGGCAGATACACAGACACTATACATCATTACCGATGGAGATGTGATACACTGGATGATGAAGGATTGGAAACTGGATGAATGTACAATATCAGCTAGCTATATTTCACTACAACACAATAAATATGTTTTGGGTTTTTACTTGAGCTCAACCAAAACAAGCCTTTGGAGAATAATTCAAATACCAGTATCATTAGTCAACACAAAATATGTATCATTGATGTTTGAAAATAAACCTAAAACCATAATTTTCGTAGGTAGTCAGTGTATGAGAAAGCTATTCAAAGGTCAGCATAACAATCTGTCAATCTTTCTTGAATAATAAATTTCAGAAGTCTCTAAAATCCTTGCTCAACACTGGTAATAATTGGTATTAAAACATTGTATTGAAATGAACTTAATATTTTCTGGAAATTTGACTTACCATAATCACACTTAGACCATGTCTTATATTTTGTATGAATACATACACATACTTGCTTCTGTGTTATCATGGTTACAGTCAAAACTTTCAATTCAGTCTACTCTTAAACAGAAGCCTTGACCTTCATGGTTAGATAATCAAATAGAAAAGAGGATAATCTTTACTTAATATTCTTCTATGATTTCACTGAGAAAAAAGTATCTACTGCTAGGAAATGAAATAGTTACCTAACATGACTGGCTAGTTGATGATCTTTACAGTGACACTGACCTTTGACATGAATGAAACATTATGGTTAAAATGGTGTACAATGTTCATCATTACTGATAAAATATATATTTGTAATCATGGGGACATGATAATCATGAGAATGGATACCACTGAAGTTTGACTTTAGAGCTCTGGTGGCCAAATGGTGACCTTAACCTTTCCAGGTAAATATGCAAAATCATCAAAATCAGATGGAAACTGTGGCTCAGCAGAACATGTTGTTTTTGTTTATATTGAATCTAATTATTATTTCATCATTAGCATATGATTACATCCATTAAGTAACCACTGGCCTAACCTGATATCGGTCTCCAATCAGCGGGAAAATTTAACTAACTGGAAATATCTAAAACGTGACAAGGCACCAATCGTAAATGGAATGTTTCATGGTGATGTATTGGACCAAAACGTATGGAAATTCTGACATAATGATCACATGATTATATGTTTCCTTTTGCTTTAATAAATAAATTCAATTGTGTATCAGAAAGAATGACCTAGAAATATAAAAAAATCATGAAATGAAAGCAGTCTTAGTAGAAATTTAATAAAACCAAACCCATCAGTGTCTTTTCAACTTAGTTCTTTAGAAATGTAAAAACAATGAAAAGATACAATTCAAAATGGCACCAATGCCCCAACACGTCTAAATGGTCAACATGTGTGAACAAATTAACTAACTCACAAAGCTTGTTGGTGGGGAATAATGATCTATATCCAAAACCTCCCTCTAAACCTGTGTTGACCAGCAACATGACAAATATTCTGACGTCCAATATTGACACAGGTGAAGCAACTGACATTTATGTACAAACAAGGAAGAACAAATTAGACAGAACACTTTGGGTCTGGAGAAAACAAACACGGTAAAAATATGTAAAACAGATGATTGTTTGTGTATCTTCAGTGAAGAAACAGTACACAGGCGAAAAGCATCTGTGGAGAATCATGAAACTAAGTATCACAATCTGGCCCTATTTGATCTGTATTGAGGTTGGTGCAGGAACACCCTATCTCAGCTGTGCTTCACGTTGCTCCTAAGCTGAGGTTATTCAGGTTGATTGTAAAGCCTTTTGAAGAAACCCAATAGTCAAGTGTTTGAGTACAATTACAGATTTTCAGAGCTGTTTGTATTCCATTATATCTTCAGACTTGAAAGTTGTGTAACTCCATAAAAAGACGGTGATATAATTTTGTATTTCTTCTGTTGGTCTGATGACAAACACATTCTGTGTTTGTGTAAACAAACCATCCACCATCTCCTTATGGAATCTCCAGTCACATCCCAGTTTAAATATTACAACAATCAAGTCAAATTACAACCATTACTAGTACAGTCACCTTCTCCATTCTCTACAGATTCAAGTGGGTTGAGTTTGAAGTGGCAGAAACTTATTCTTTTATTACATGGTAAACATAACATTACATGTAACTGAAGGCTATAACAAGTACACTGGCCCACTAGACACGCTAGACAGCCAGTAAAACAATTTCAGGTCGAAATCAATAATTAACTCCAGTGGTTTAGGTACCTAAAGGAATTTATAGAATGCTTATTCTCTCATGTGAATGTTCTGATTATTTGCAAAATATTTTCAAAACATATGACTATATGAAAGATAAGAAATACTGTTCAAGACAGACGTTATTGTTGTTTTCTCATTTCTGTGGAACTTGTGAACTGTCTGTTGACACTCCCATCCTCGCTATCTGATAAAAATACATTTGTCAAACCCTGAGTTTGGCAAAGTGAAGCACAAATTGCCCTAATCAGACATGGTTTAAGTTGATGACAGGACCAAGTGAGAAACCATTCCCATAGGACTCGTCGCTCTGTCCTAGTTCCACTGGCTGAAGGGTCGGCACAGGGCGGATACGATCATCCGAGTTGGACACCACAAGAGCAGAGGAGGACAGACTTCGCAGGGGAACAAGTTCACTCAGAAGATATGCTGAAGTTGAATAATGTACATTGTCAAAGGTGGGAGGCATGGTGATGGACCGAAGGTCCCTCTCCAAGGTGTCTGATCCATTGGAATCGGTTTCCTGCAAGTCAGAAATAGGAGACACTCTACCAGCAGTGTCCCAGTCCTTGTGGACCTCGGCGTGCAGCACTGTCTGGGATCCATTCAGGCTGTTGCCACACACTGTCGGCATTGATTTACTTTTGTTCTTTGACTGGCTGTACTCCGGATCCACTTCTATGTCTGACTGCTCAGACTTGCGTCCTTTACACGACAACCTGCCATCAGGATGGGAGTGTTTGCCACAGAGCACACAGGCAACCGAGTTGGAATCACGGAACTTCTCTGCATTCCGGAAACTGTCATAGCTCTTTGACACATTCACTTGGTTCGATGACGTGTGAACGGTGAGGCGGCTACTTAGTGACGAGGGCAGGGAGTTCTGGCGACTGTACAAAAATAGGTTCACCTGTCCTGCATCTTTACCGCTAGACCGTCGCGGAAGCGTGTGCACCTCAACTGCTGCATCAACACAGTTAGTAATGGAAGGTGTTACATGTTCCGTGCAGGTTGGGTCCAGTAAAGGTTGTTCTTGTGAGTTGTGGCGTCGATGGCGAGATTTTGACTTACTCTGTGTTGGTGGTGCCTGCTGTAAACGGTCCTCAACCCAATTGGGGTTGCTCTGGAAGTAATCCTTGGCTTGTTCAATTGCCACATACAGTTCAGCACCAACCTCCGACTTATGGTAATTACTCTCAGACACCCCTGGGTAGTTGGCCTCCAACTTGTTATCATCATGTTCAAGGCCATGTAAATGGTTGTACAATTTATTCAGGTCCTTCATGAGACAGAACTTGGTCCCAGTTTCAAGTTGTGGAGGAATATCACTGGACATTGAATAATCCATGTATGCTGTGATGAATTTCGACATGGGCAAGCCCTTCCCCCTCTCAACTCGCATCTTTTCACCGACATAATCCACAGCAACAGCAAAGTAATCTGGCAACGTTCGACTTGTCTCACTTTTGAATCGAACACGTTTCTTTGAGCATCTTAATCGAGCACCTACAGAGCACACAACCATGATGTAGTCAACTTCCTGAAGCCGTTCTATCAACCAATCATCCAGACCTCTCTCGTGGATGATCTGTTCCTCAAACAGGTCAAGCACTACGTTACAGCAGCACACCTCCATGAGGAAACCTGCCAGTGATTGGACCACCTTCTCATGCATGGGGCAGTCGTAGGAGTACAAGACCAGCACGCCTGGCAGCTGCTTGTTGCTGACATCTGAAACAGAAAACAACAGTTTCTATTCTTCATACAATAAAAGGGGTGGTGGGGTAGCCTAGAGGTTAAAGTGTTCACTCGTCACGTCGAAGACCCAGGTTCGATTGCCCACATGGGTATAATGTGTGATGCCCATTTCTGATGTCCCCAGCCATGATATTGCTGGAATATTGCTAAAAGTGGCGTAATACTACACTCACTCACTTTAACAATAAAATCTGAGTAAGCGGGTAGCATTACACTGTTTTAGCAATACTAAGGGCCATGAGATATGGGCTCTGCATATTGAACCCGAGTGTTGACCACAACTGTGACTTTGATTATACAAAAGTAAACTTCCTGCTTACAATGCAAATCTGAATAATGAATTACAGTTAACAAATGTGCCTTGACTACACTACTGCCAACATTTCAGCCATATGAGAGTAGGGCAACTCTGTACCCAATTGCTATTTACATTACGTCTTGAACATGGGCCTTCAGTGTGAAAAGCCAGCACTGACCAAACACATGTGTCATCACCCATTACAAAGTGATCGAGTTGAGAGAGCAGCTTATCAGTTGTATCATGGTATGTCAATTTGATGTGGTAGGAAAGCCTGGCTGGATGCAAGTCTTGCACATTTAACACTTATACAAATTCAAAGGAATTGGAATAGTTTCATAAATTTGAAATAGCTTTGACTTATAGATCATGTTGGTGTCATAAGCTGATGTTTCATGTGTAAGACTTACCAATAGAGATGGACCGCAGACTTGCAGCTCGTTCACGCCCAATAGTCCCTGGAACAAGTGTTTATACATAAAATTATCAACAGGCAAGCTGAAGACACCAGCTGAAAGTATGATCAAAGTGAGCGATCCAATATGGGATGAGAGTAGATGTCTACCATTTTGGTGAAACTCACGATCATGGATATTATGCTGACAAACTTAAAACATATTTGGGGGATTTAAACCCACAGCATTAGGTTTCTGGACTGCCCAAACAAACATTCTAATCCTGCTGACTGCTTCCTAAAACATCCAATCCTGTAACCAAAGAACACTGTTCTTGGAATCAATCATGTCACCCTATAAATAAGCATTGAACATATGGTGGTGCCATGACCATGTTGACTTACCATGCTGGGGATCCTGGCGCCTCCTCCAGAACTTGAATAACAGGAAGAACAAGGCTATGAGTCCCACAATACCAATCACACCAACAACAGTGCCAAGGATGATCTTGAGGGCACGGTTGTACTCTTCCGGGTCTGGGGACGCCTCAATAATAGGACCTCCAGCTGTAACACACAACATGAACAACATGCAACATTCCCTCTAAGACATGTCAGGCAGTAAACAGAATATACACTAGAATTACATATCACTGCATGATTTACACTACCAGCCAGTTCGCTTTCATCAGAAATGCATGGCATGCAAGGACACACTAAATTAATAAATAGATTTTTATCCCTCACTACCAAACATGTTGCATCACATTCAATTTGTCCCCAAGCTGATAGTCTAAGAATAATTGTTGTAACTGCCATTCTTTCTTGACTTGAACTGTTTGAGAGGCATTCCAGAAGTTGCAAGTAATAGGAATGACAAGTCTTTATGGATGATCAACTTCTTTCTTAAATGTTAGCGATGTTCCGGTATTGATACTTATTATCAAGCATGAGGCTTGAAAACTGTATAAGTATGTATACCAAAACATCGCTAATATACAATAAAGAAGCTGATCATCCATAAAGAATTGTCATTCCTATTTCTTGACGTGATCAAAAATATGCAGCTCCTACTATACATGCAAGCCTTTTGGATGTGAATCGCACCCAGTAACTGATGAAGCCATGAATAACTTGTTTTAATAAAATAAACCACTGAACAAATGCCTCCTGCCTATGTTCTAAAATTTTAATGAAAACCTACTAAATATACTGTAGTCTAGCAACTTGGAAAGAGAAGCTGACAATTATGTTTGTGTTTCCGTGGAAATGTGATTCAAATACTCATCAGTATTCATAAATTAGTCAGGAAGTATACAGCATCACTCAGCATATTGCCAGTGGTCTCATCAGTGAACCAGACATGTTAAACATTCTCATTCTCCAACAACACAATGAAGCATGCTATTCAATGACACTACTAGGGTTTGGGACTAAATTAAGTCATTTTGACATATACTGAGGGAAAAAATAAGGGATCACATGAAAGCACAAGTGTTCCTTTATTTGTTTCCTGGTTTCTTCACAAGCTATGTGATACAACAATGTGAAGAAACCTTGGAAAAAATAAAGGAACACTTGTGCTTTCATGTGATTCCTTTTTTTTCTTTTCTCAGTGTATTATGTGTAACATGATGGCATAATGGAATCATACCACGGTACTTATTCATGATGATTACGGTAATAATCTGATATGGAAGTATATTAACATAGAAAATAACAATAACTGTTTTGTTTCTTTTTAGAGTGAGTGAGTTTAGTTTTACACCGCACTCAGCAATATTCCAGCTATATGGCGGTGGTCTGTAAATATTCGAGTCTGGACCAGAAATCAAGTGATCAACAGCATGTGTCAACCAAGTCAGCGAGCCTGACCACCCGATGCCGTTAGTCGCCTCTTACGACAAGCATAGTCGCCTTTTGTGGCAAGCATGGGTTGCTGAAGACCTATTCTACCCAGGATCTTCACGGGTGTTTCTTTTCAGAATGATGACCTAGATCCAATTAGTCAATTGCATGTCACTCAGAAAATTAAAAGATCTTGTTACAGCGCATGTTCACATGTTCAGATTGTCTCCATCATAGTTTCTGGAAAATTGTATCATTTGTTAATCAGAAGAACAATAACCAAACAGCATGATACGGTATGATGTACATATCCCAGCTTGGAATAATCATTATTGCCCACTTCAGATATTGCTTACTCATGTTGATATAGGGTTTATTTCACCCATAAATCTGATGACAGACCATTGTGGGCTATGTGACTGCTTGTAGGGTGTAACTTGTGTTTGGACCATACCACATTGTCCAGGGTATAATGCAGACATATTTCCAACGTGAGTTGAAGGGTATGTGTATCAAGCATGCAAGGAATGTGCTTCTGTTACTTCACCTTGTCCACACAATAATCACTTGCATATTTATGACAGGAACACAAGAAATCTGGATTGGTTGCAATATGTATCAGTAGAGTATGTCCTGTATGTAACACAGAATTCCAAATGAAACAATAAGACAAAGTCATCAATATCCCCTGCAATGGCAAAAAACTCTTCATGATTATGTCTACGAGTTATGATTATGTCAAATATTTAGGTGTGTATATAGAAAAGTGGAAGGAGAGTATTGAAAGGTTTTTAAAGTTCTGCTCCGGAAAAGAGCACTACCATCAATTTCATTCTAAGTCGAACTTGTTGCCATGGAAACGCCAAAAATGTTTTATTCAGATTTCCAAAACTACCAAAAGACACCAGTACTCCACCCGATTTATCTATGTGCCAAGTTTGGTTAAGAAATATTGAACGGTTTTAGAGTTCTGCTCTGGAAAAGACAAATGTGCACGGACGGACAGACGGACGCACGCCTGGAAGGAGTCCATTTTAATACCCCCCGCAAAACGCGTTGCGGGGGATAATAAGCCTTGTATCACATTGAATTTAACCATATTATTCTATCATGCCTATTTGCATATTTTTCAAGGATTAATAATTCATCATTTCTAAGTCAGTGAGTGAGTGAGTGAGTGAGTTTAGTTTTACGCTGTACTGTACGCAGCAATATTCCAGCTATATGGCGGTGGTCTGTAAATAATTGAGTCTGGACCAGACAATCAAGGGATCAACAACATGAACATCGATCTACGCAATTGGGATACGAAGACATGTGTTAACCCAGTCAGCGAGCCTGACCACCCGATTCTGTTAGTTGCTTCTTACAACAAGCATGGGTTACTGAAGATCTCAGTTTTAGTTTCATTTCTAAAAGCTTGCTCACTATTCATTATGGTCACCATCTTTGCAGCTAGTGGTGTCTAAGAGAACTCACTTCCTCACATGACTAACAATGAAATGAGTGTTTCATTCCGCATCATTAGCTACCCAATATATATCAAGTTGACCAACTCTACCCAGAGTCGCCACGCTCCAAGCCATGTACTGAATGCTGAGCCCATGGATGTACAGTAATTCTGTCCTTCGAAGAGGCAAGTCTAGATAGGCGACCCCAGTCTGTTATTTATCATTTTTTAGAAATCATCATTTAAACTATTATTTTTTACCCTAGAGACTTGTGCAAGTCTATACCCTGTTCTACATCCCTTATGGTAACCCTGTAGGAGATTACTCACGGTTGCGGGGCTGCTGAGTACTCATGGGCACCTTAAAATCTGAAATAAATCACAGAATAACTAACAAGGAAACAAATACACATCCATTCAGTTTTGTTTGTTTGTTTGTTGTTTCACACCACACCGAACAATATTCCAGCTGTATGGTGGCAGTCTGTATATCATCAAGTCTGGACCAGACAATCCAGTGATCAACAGCATGAACATCCATCTACTCATTTAGGATACAATGACGTGTCAACCAAGTCAGCAAGCATGACAACCTGATCACCTTAGTCACTTCTTTGACAAGCATGGGTTGCTGAAAACCCAGATCTTCAAGGGTACTTCTGTACATCCTGACTTGCAAGAATACTTAAAGACACCACCCACTAGTGCTTACCACACTCACATACCAATGCTTACCACATTCCCTGAGCAAACTCACACACTCACACCTACCACAGCTTAGGACACTCTTTGATTATTGCTTTCCATGCTCACCTACCACTTGGCCTGACTTTTGATTTAGATCATTGAGATCGATAATTGTTCTCTAAACATTGATCGATTAAGAAATACAGTTTGCTCTACCAGTACCACCATGTATAGTGTAATAAAGCACACTTTCGCCCTGAACTATCATAACATTAAAGCACTCGGACGCAAACGTCCTCGTACTTTAACTATAATACGCTTGCGTCCGAGTGCTTTAACGTTATGATAGTTCAGAGCGAAAGTGTGCTTTATTACACTATACATGGTGGTAGAGAAACTGTATTTCTTTTCTAAGATGCCAAATTTAATACTTTCTAAGGATAATTACGATTAATTTAAGGTAGAAAACAAACGACGGTGTCGGTGACCTAAATTAAGAATCCTCACACAGGGCTAACTGGCGCACTGTTCTATTGATGTGTTTGCCCCCCTACGTTAAGACGAACGTTACCAGAAAAAACAAATGATAACAGTTTGATGGCGGTTTACGTTCGGATTAAATATCTTCTCTGAATTATTGTAATTACATCTGTCATTAACGTAAACCATATGGGGCAATATGAACGTCACATTTCTACTACCAACGTAAGTTTAGATCAGTACACCCAGATGAAGCTGAGAAGTCAAGCGACATTCCACGATTGCATTGTGGGAATGTAAACATTGCGAACGTTAACGTGTCGCTGAAAACTTGTGAGTCGAATTGACACATTTTAACCGTCATAAAACATAAACGTAATGATTCCACCATTGATGTTAGCTGCGTGAAGCAACTGCAAACCAAGAAACGGGATGCAACGGAGTAGTTTACTGTAGGAGGCCGTACGAGGTGATGACAACTGACATGCATCGTGACGTCGCTTACATTGTGACGTAACGTAAAATGGTTCGACTACGAGGGGGCACACTAGAATGGCGCAGTAACGGGATAACGTCATTCAGTTGTTACGTCATCAAAAAACTATACCTTTATTGTCTGATAATGTATTTTTTTCCGATTGTTCCAACCGCTAGGCATCTTAGAATTATTGTTAAATATCAGAGAAGTAACTTTGAGCAAAATTGCCAAAGAAAGTCCTAAAGAAATGAATATATTTCAAACCACTAGTGAGTGGTGAAATGTTTAAGCATGGATTACTAACAAAACAGCGTCCTGAACGTAATCTAGAACCAGCCCATGATTAAAAAACCTAAATTTGTGTACTGATTGAGTAAATTAAACCTCGGCCTAGAAATTAAAAACAGGCCTAGACCCCTACCTATCACCTTTCTTAAGTTCCCAACATGTTTATTACGGTAAATACGGTACATCGGATCATAATACATGTATTGCAATATGAATTCATAATGACAGTGCATGATTATTTCCTTTCCTACTCCAGAACGGGGGCAGAATCACCACGGTGAATGTCTATTGTTGAACAAGTTTCCTGTTGACAGGGTTGTACTGCTGAAGGAATTACAATACAACAAAATAGACCACATATTTATGCATAAAGAGGTCTGCTGTTCATCTGATATAAGGAAACAACAATGATGCCTATTGTAAACAAGTCTACTGGTCTCAGTGTCACAAGAAATCACATGGACTTTCACACAACTGAAAATGGTAATAAAGAAGCAGTAACATTACTCACTGGAGACGGAGGGTGTTTATTCATGACGCAGAGTAAACTGACACCACAACTCACCACACAGTTTACGACCTTAACTTTATTACAGGACATGAACTACATAAGGATATAACAAGTTACCTGGTGTCTCCAACACGTTGCCGTCACAGAAGGGCATTTATCCATCATATTGACACAGCCTTGAGAACATACAGCCCTTACTGAGGATTATTATCCACTGGCTCGGGTTGTGTTGTCCTCCATTATACCCCTTTATAGGCCACCCCTTTATAACACTGATATTGATAGTTTCACAATTACATTTATGATTAACAAATAAATAAATCAAGTATCCTGTCTAACACATTTTGATATGGCCACATCCCTATGTCCCACTCATCTGTTTATTGTGATAAGGGTCTTGGGTCCAAGTGAAGGTTCCAGGAAACCCCTTATCTAACTGGCGTGATGGTCTGCTTAGGAAATTAACTCAGCAAAGAGTCCGAAGTTACAAGAAGCTAATCACAATTTTATTTACAAGAATGGAATAACATGGGGTGGCCACAGAGTGTCGGTACAACCCTCTGGGCTGAGGGCTAGAGCTGACCTGTGTTGGGAGTCTAAACCCTCCTGACCAAAAATCGGAGCTGTGACTATTTATCAAAACTGAAATAAGGAAGAGATTATGGGGCCGATACAAAAATGGATGTAACCTACAATAACCAATGAAATACAGAATATACAAAATGGGGTGTGTCCTACAAATGAAATGATCAGACAGGGAGAGTACTTAATCCTGCTAATCCTATTTCAACTGGCATTAATTGTGTTGAGACATGTCCTGGAAGCTTCCTAATTAACTGACACTAATTGTGCTGACATGTTGCTTGGATGGTTATGGTGTTACAATAGATGGCTTAATGACCCTAATTTGAAGTGTTTGCATAATATATTTTAATGGAGGTGATGATATGTTTACTGTATCAAAGCAGTTAATTAAACTGTCTAGACATTACTTTGTCTTACTAAAAGGTTTGAGTCCTTGAAACCTTAGGCTACGATTTATCGTGAACATCTGTGAAATTGTGCAGCCGTAACTTATACTTTTTTCAATAGTATGTCTGTGATATGAGTTTTACTAATTTTGACTGCAGTCTTTCTCTAACCTGTTATGATACCTGATGAAACTAATATTCAATATTTATATTTTCCTAATATCTGAATCCTAATATATCGCTTGTAGTGGTTATAATTAATAATGAATTTTCGTATGAATTATTCCATGATATGTTTATGACTCAAGTTTACAACTTGTAAGAATGTTGCACTATACTGAGGAAGTTGTCAACACTGGTTTATCTGGAGGAAGCTCAGGCATATTTAACACAGATTTTCTCATCTCACATGACACTGCTCATGCATAAGTTACGGACAGTCAACTGAGAAGTAAAGAGGATTGGTCACACTTCAAACCACACACCCATACCAATAAACAGGCCCAATACCTGGATCAACTGGGAGCAGTTTAAACCAATTAACAGAAGAGAAAATGTTTGGGTCCTTGCCTTTTTGGGGGGGATATGCACCCTGGGTGCTCCAAAGGTGTGAAGCTAATAAGGTATTACCTGTTCACCTGGATGAAGATTCTGAATGGTTCATTGTGACACTGTACTCGTCAACACATACACATTCTTTATTTACCTCAATACAGTTAATTATGTTGCTAAAATAAATTAGTGGGCCTTATTTGACATTGTTTGATCATGGACTTAGTAATTTTAAAAAAGACATTTTGGTTATGGGTATTGGTCAGAATTTAGTATTCTAATTTATTGTAATGATTCATGTACTGCGAAATGAAACATTTTCCCCACAGGGTTATGAACCACTTGTATGTGCAATAGTGAAAATTATAATGTTGCTTCATGAACACCAGTGTATCGTTTACACTGACAGGACTAAATTGTTGACAGCATTCAGATCAATTTGTAACATAAGGTGTGAATACCGGGTAACTAGAAAAGACGTCAAAACTGAAAACTGTTAGCCTCATTAAACAGTGGTAGATTTGTCACATGGCAATTGTGATCAATGTATTTACTTGAAGGGGTATAAGAAAGGACTGAAAATATTCCCATGCGTGTTATACTGATTTCATGAAACTCATGTACGAGTTCATGTAAGACCATGGCTATTTCTTGTGAAATACGAGAATTCTGACAAACATTTTGTGAAATATGTGTGACGCACACAATATTATCCATAGTCTTTCAGCTGTGATATATCATGAACCTGAATAATACAGACTTTCTATGCAATTGTTGTAAAACTTCATATTATTTGTATGTTGCTATGGTTACAATGCATGTGAAATAGATATCGATACTATTCAATATTAGTTTAGCATTTTATATCATTGGAAACAGCTGCTAATTTCCTAGTTCCACAATCAGAAATATATTTATCACTTGTGCAAATATGAAGATGAAGATATGTATGATATTGATACCAAATATATGTAAGATATCAAACATACTGCAATAAGTATTTATCATTATTTCATACTGTGGTATACCAACAATAATGCACACCTCCAACTGTTGAATACTGATGATGATCAGTATGATAAGTATGGAAATGCCAAGCTGGACATATATCGATAAGTTATATTTTGATGCTTGGATTTATCACATTTGGACATGTCAGTGACTATTAACTGAGCACTGTGTCCTGTCGGGTTTTAAATGTAGCTATGTCCTCGCCACATCCTGGCAAGGTGCACTATTGCTAGACAGACGACCGCTTATTTGCATGGACCACACATTCATCTGTCTTCATTGATGTAAAAAGTCTCATTTAAATCAAATTTAATGCTCTGATACCTCTGTGCAAGAAGGTCTGGGGTTGGCTGAATCATTCAAACCAGCATACATGATTTCTGTACTTCAC